GTGAAATCTATCAAACAGGTTGAGAGTTTCACATAATACCTTGGAGGGATATGATGTCATGCTTTTATGAATGAATGACTCCGGATGCGATGTTGACAAGGATGGTGACATTCTGTTGGAGAAATTCAATGGAACTAATCCGAAAATAGAGTTCACGCTGGAAAAGGAATCTACAAATGGTCTCGCATTTCTAGACGTGTTATTGTCTAGACGATCAGATAGCTCTATTCGTAGAAGCATTCACCATAAGAGAACATGGACGTGACAGTACACACACCACTAAAGTTTCGTCCCATTACAACAAAAGAGAAATTTGACTCGCTGCTTAACCAATGGATTTAGGTTGAACGTTTGATGGATATAACCTTAGCTATCGTCATTGCTTTTGAAGTAACTGAAACAAATACGAACCATAATAAGTCATTCCTCTATTCTTTGTGGGATTTACTCCTATCTGTCGATCGATATGTTTAAATGAAAACAGAACGCAGTATTGATCCAAAGTGCACTGCTCTTTGAACGCATCGGACCGTACAGCTGGAATAAGCATGTGTCTAGACGAAAAATGGCTTATTTTTCTTTCACTTTCATTCACCCATTTAATATGCGTTATCGCCGTCTGTGAACGTATGAAATACATGGAAGATCCATATCATTACGCAACCAGAGCAATCCATGTGGACGAACCATTTCAGTACGCTCGCCGGAACGCCTACTACCATGCAAATGAATGGAGCGTTTCCATACATTTCCTGGTTACGCAAGAAGTCGAAATATTTCATTTCAGAGCATTCGAAGCTGGAAGAGATAAAACATATCACTATTGCCCAGATATGGGCGGGACTAAGGAAACCCGTTGCTGCATGTTCAACCGTCGCACCAAATACATTGGGGAATGGCCTGAATGCGATTACACTTTTTATTCCTATAATTCCAACAAAACACATGTAAAGATAATATTTCAAACATATTTTGATGCTCATTATTCGGATGAAATAATGTATAGTTTTCGGTACCTAAGAAATGGTATGTGGTACAGATTTCTACATTGCTTTCCGGATCCATATAAAGAAAAGATTTGTAGTGAAATAGCGCGTTCGGGGCACACATCAGATCCTGCGGATTTGGGAAAACTTATCAGTACTCCAGAAAAATTTGAAATAGATTATTTGGAATTCAGGAATTCCACTTTGTTTGCCTTCGAAGGAAAAGTTATTCCGTTGGTTATCCGAACCTATTCTCGAAATGGGGAGTTTCCTGAAGTTGTCTTGTTTGATGAAGTTCCTGGTGACGGGGAATATTCTTCAAGAAATATGAATTCAAAAGTGAAGACGCGAAAGAGGAGGGATGTTTACACCTCGTTTACTGAAACAATACAGTGCTTAGAGGACTATTACGAGGGTATAAGAGAAACAAAGTTTGATGTGGATATTTATCGCGAAACCAAAGCAATTTTGGTGGTAATGGACAAGAATAAAGGTAGAGCTGCACACAACGATATCACGGGTCTCATAACCAGGTGGTCCAAGGGAATTACGGGAGGCAAAAATAGATATCACACTGGAAATTTCCCCATACGTTTGATACGTGTGATGACCACACGTCATTCGATATATATCGAGCATGAAAACTACTTTTATTATTATGGACGCGAAACAGAATATTTAGAAGGAAAATTGAAGTGCTTCGTGCGCCGAGGAGGTGCACAGTTCAAAGAAGCACCCAGAATGCAAGCATCTGACGATTACCAGGTTGTTCGAATAATGGATCTTCAAGTATACGATAGTGGAGCATACAAGTGTCTTGTTGGTAGCTTGGAGAGATACACCAACATATACATAATTGTCCTTCCAAGACAAGAGGATGTGAAATTAATAGTGAATAGTCAGGCTTTGACTCCGAAGGACGTACCGGTATCAGATATTCGACGTCGAGATGAATTGAATAAAACGTTTTTGCGATTCAATGAATCCGTTATAGTAAACTGTTTTTATAACCTTTCTAAAGGGCTCGATAACTTTGAAGGGGCACATTTTTCGAGCAAACTTTTAAAATCGGTGCAATCACAGGACTGGAGTTTGGTTCGAAATGAAACACTGGACCAGCCAAACGATATGTTTATATGGATTCAAGCTTACAAACTAAATAAAACTTATATCAAAGGAGCAGCGGTTGAACATGAGGTTGATTGCTATCACGCTTATAAACAGAAGAAAGAAATTGTTCGGCATGGAAAAAGAGTGTTTAAAGAAAACACCGATATTCATTCTGTACAAAGCTTTGTGACGTCATTGTTCAAACCACCAATAATATTCGATTGGAGCATAAACATGAATCAGCCTGACGTTACAAAAGCATTACAAACTGACGTTTGCAGATCCACTAATGCTGAATCTTTCACCTTGACGACTAATCCTCGTTTACTCGAGGGTGAGTTTGACGGTTCATTTCATAGTATGCATTATCGAACTGGAGGATGGACAGTAGTTTGGATGATATCAGACTTTGAACATAAGCTGTATGTGGACAAGTGTAGCGTACAGGAGACTATCTTAGAGCCGGAAAAAAATAAACAGCTGTTTGAGAGACCAGATATCAGAGAGCACTATGGCCCTTTCGTTTTAACAAATGTCACTTTTAAGTGTGTTGTCCCGCTGCATGCCATTGGAATTATACTTGTTGCGTTTAACACGGAAGGAGATAATGTAAAAAATGAGGAAGTAGAAAAAGTCTATGTAGACTCTTTAACTAAGGTTATCAAAGAAAGACTAACTAACCAACAACCGAAAACATCAATAACGCCTAGCGGCAGCAGTGTAACTAGCCATCGCTTGGTTCGCATACGAACGGGCTGGAATGCAACCGTGAATAGGGGCCGTGAGATCGTTATGATTTGGGACACCCGGAATATAACTGATGGGAAACCATACTGTGAATATCGCGCAGATCAATCCCAGAGGTGGGCACCCCTATCTTCAGAGTTCCAACTGGAAAAGTTTAGTGAAATGCGTTTCTATAAACTGTACAAAGCGGCTAGTGCCCTGACTGATTCAGGACAATACAGATGCTTTGGACCGGATAAGCAAGCACCACTTGGTCCCGTTCGAACATTAGCTATCATTCCGAATTCGGAAGATATCCAAACAAGATTGGAATACGAAAAGCTTGTACATGGAGCAAATGGATCAGTGTTGGTATTATCCGGGCAACAAATAGAAGTACACTATTCCACCGAGTTTGGGAATGGATTCAAAACGCAAATTGATCACCGATTTTTCTATGAAACATATAAACCGTCCGGAGAATCTTATGAACCACTTGGATCGAAAAAGGTGAGCGAGAAAATCATTGAAGGAAACGAAAAATACAGTTCTCAAATGGTCTTCTCATTTAGAGCTCCTGAACCGATTGACTATTGGGACCACACGAGAATCCGCTATGTGGTTTCACTGAGTAAGCGTACACGCGATGTTTACGATTTTCTGAACGAAAATGAGATTATCACTTTGTCTTCGATCATGAAGATCCCGGTAAAAGAACGCAAACTAGGGGAACCTGTGATCCCTACGATATTTTCAGATGAAAAGGAATTGGAAAAACAACTTCGTGCAACAGAGTCCCGCAGAGCGGAAACGTCGTTGTTCAATACAAACAGTGCACCGGTATCTCTTTCAGAAAATCCAGTCAACATTGAATTCACCGCGTTCATTGGAATACCGAAAGGGATAGCTAAATTGTGGCTAATTTATCGGCACCAATCGGACATAGAATTTGAGGAGTGTGTTCCTACAAGTGTGATAGATTTAGTACAACTTGATCAGGAGTTTAGAGACACGGATATATGTAAACAAAGCAAATGTCGCAATTTCCAGCGTTTCAAATTTCGCTGTATTCTAGTCACTCAACACTCAGCGATGGTGTTGGCATTTTTCAATGCTTACGATTTCACTTTGTCCATCGAGGAAGAAAAAACTTTGTTCCAGCATCAATTGAGGCAAAGAATGTTCGGAGAGCACATAGTACGATCAGATATTGAGATGGAAAGGTTAATAAACAAACTTCACACCAAGCCAAACCAACTGTCTGTGAAGCTTCAAGTAGGCTGGAAAGCTATACTGAGAATTGGGGACCTCATGCGCTTGGTTGGCAGATTTAGTAACAGATTGGACAACGCTGTGCACTGCGTGAAGAGAACTGTTGAGACTAATGCAACCAATGGAGAAAAGGTGAGTACAATAAAAGTACTGGATGATGAAACCAAGGGTTTTGAACTAGTCAAAGATTCGGTCACATACGAGGACGCTGGTATATATGAATGCAAAGATAATCTGTGCGAAAATTGTGGTTTTCGTTCCGGTATGGCTCCACGCAGTGTCTACGTACTTCCCGATGAAAGCATGCTATACACGATGCTCAATCACAAGGCTCTGACTGAGACTGGTCCGTATGGCGCCAACTTCACTCAATGCATACGAGGTGGACATCCGTATTTGTTTACAGAACAAAATATTAGTGTGCGATGTGCACACCCTTTGTCCCCATTCGTTCTGATGAAACCCTCTGTTAAATTGATATACCAAACGTTCGATGTAAAGGAACGGGAGTTAGTTCAGCTTAATACCAGTCTAGAGTCTGAGGTTGAGGGTTCCATCAATGATAAATCATATCGCATCACTGGCTTTTCTGTTCAAGCTCCCATACCAGAACAGTTGAAAGGTGACTTGATACTGACATGCCGATTTACTTATGACAAAATTCAGGTTGTTGGATACGATTCCAGTGGTTTCAAATTACCCGTTGCTCTAGAGAAGAAGAGAGACGTCAGTGCGAAATTGATGCTTACTCCACGCATATTTGTTGAGTATCTGACAACAGACAAAAGGAATCTACTGGACAATCTTCTTCACCGAGACACCTTTAGCCCATTTAGTGCAAATTTGTTTCACAAATCCGGTTCTTCATCTCGGTTGATGGAGCAAAACGCAAATATTCATGTGGTACAAAGTCTTGGCGTACCTCGAGGACATTCGCTTGCCTTCATGATTTACGAATACAACGGTTTACAAACTGACGAATGTTTCCGACTAAAGACTGTTGTTCTGACCCCATCGAATACCCCACCTCTCGTGAAAGAGCATCCAACCTATCGGATGTCGAAAGGGATGAACTACGAGAATACGACATACGTGTGTACATTTCAGCCGGAACATGTTGCTTTAGTACTAGTTGTATTCACCGTGTTCAACGAGGATGAACTGGCAGTGAAGAAGGCTATCGTGCAAAATATTGTCAGTCATGTAAACTTTTGGCTTCAAAATCCCAGTAGTAAAGAAAACAGACAATTGGAAATCACAATAAATACACGGGCAGATTGGCGAGTGCAGAGGGTAAACATTGGTTGGTTTGGGTCTGTGCAATTGGACAGCAAGTGGAAAATGTTGGTCACACATCAGTGGCTTACGTTCCAAGAAGGAAGGTTTTCCAACGCTCGGTTTATCTGTTACTATCAGACTGATGTGACAAGTTCCAAGGTGGAACGTTTCAATCGTTTCATTGAATGGTTCATGTATTTCGAACCTGAGAATCCCGCGCGAATGACTGATTCTGGGCTGTATCATTGCGTGTATAAACCATGCGCTGGACAGTGTGATGAATTCATACTAGCCGCGCCCCGTCGTTTGTTGGTTCTGCCCAATGCTAATGTGTTAAAACTATACTATAGCCGCAAGCTGTTGAACACCAGCGGAACACTGAAAACAGATTGGAAAGGATACTCCCAAAACAAAGAACCAATCTTACGCGAGAGTGAGTTTATGTTTGTCTACTGTCATTTTGAACGAGTGCCTGGGGTGGGTGAAAAAGAGAAACTTCACTTCTCTGTTTTCACCCAAAGTTTCTCAGAAGAGAGTGCGATTCGAAACTTACCATTCATCAAACAGAACGAGCAGAAACCTGATGCGAACTTCTACACTGGTGTGTTTAAAGTGAACGGTCCAGTACAAGATGAATACTATGATCCAGTGACAATTCAGTGTCAGGTGAACTATGATGATAGTATATTTGACGCAAAAGATATGCGAGCAGAGAAACAAATTAAACCCTTGGTGAAGAAAATTTCGGTCGTATTTCTTGAAAGAATATTACCAAAGATCTACAACACAGAAATCATAGCATCTCATAAAGATTTGGAATACGCCTTACGTTATGCGAAACCGAACGTGGTCTCATCCGAGGAGTATTTGAAATCGGTCACAAAATCTCAGTTACAGGAAGGTGTTTTCCAACTATCTACCATAGGTTATCTTGGTTCTCCACAGGCCGAAATCTTTGCATTTGTTGTATACGAGTTGAACGCAAAAATGGTCACCGAATTGTGCACTAAGCTTCAAGAGAAGCAACTGGAAACGGACGAATTGCCTATAAGTGTCACAAGTCAATTGACCCAAGCGCAGTTACGGAGAGAACATTTTGTTCGCGTTGAGTACATTTGTGTGATACGGGCGGAACATGTGGCCGCTGGATTTGTGACATACGATGCTTACAAAAAGGAAAACGATGTACACATGTTTAAACGGACCCTAAAAGAACTATTGGGTGAAAAAGTGAGGCAACTAGAAGGGAGACAGTCTGTAATGGCAACGTCCAATGTTGAACGATCAGAGCCTACTTCAAGCCAAAGACTGATATACCAGTTAGCTAAAATCAGAGTTGGTTGGAAGGCAACTGTACAAATCGGTGCACCGATTCTCATGGTTGGTAGTGCCGGGGATGCGTCAAGTCAGAAAGTTTTGTGCACATATCAACCAATGGAAGGTTCAGAAAAGGGTGACTTGGGTGAAGGTTTCCTAATCGAGCGACCCAAGAAAAACGCTAATACAACAACAGAAAAGCATGGAATAACTTCAGTTTCCTTTTCTGTAGTCAAAACTAACGCGACTTATGAAGATTCTGGTTTGTACGNATGTAATGTGAAGGATGACTGTGAGGGTTGTGTGGAATCAGTCGGATTCATTCCTCGTCGTTTGATTGTTTTGCCAGATGCATCTGTGGTGAAAATACTGGTGACAGAAAAAGTGCTAACATCAAGTGACCAATGGAAGGGGCATTTCACCCAATGCAACAAGAAAAATCAACCAGTGCTACTGAATGGTCATTCGATGATTATTGGTTGCTTGCAGGAGGTTCCACCAGGTGCGCCAAAGTCCACGGCTTTCGAATTCTTACTAAAGTCAACTGAACGAAATTTCAAGTTCAATATTACAAGCCTTGGTTTAGAACGTCGGAAGAATAAATTGTTGACCTTGTATCGTTTCTCCGCTCCAGATGTGAAAGACTTCACAGGTTTGGTGGAAGCAACATGTAGGTGGAATTATACGATTGAAAGGCTTATTCCCCCTGATCTTGCTGGTGACCGTGAATCGATTTCGGTTGAGTCGACCAAGACTATTGAGATAAGAGCATTTTTTCATCCTACAGTTTACCCAAAGTTATCGACCAGTAATGAGGAAGAGATCCAAACACAATTGAGGAATCTCCATTTACCCAATAAATCACCCAAGGAATTCAATAGTGAGAATATGAATAGACGTTTGTTGGAAAACGTTTATCAAGTGAATCTCATTGCATCTTTAGGCATTCCTAAGGGATCACTGTTCATGTGGGCTATGTTTCCGTTTCACAAGCACGAGATAGTTCATGAGCCATGCCACTTAAACGACCTTCATGGTATGACTGATGATGAATTGCCCGCGGACTTGAGCATCATGAGTAAGTCGATAACGAAGGTAGATTATAGCATAGTTAATGCCTCCTTCAATTGTTTGCTGAAGCCGGAACATAAAGTACTCGTTTACATAGTCCATAATTCACATGACTCTGACGCTAACGAAACGGGTTTGACTGCGGTTTTGTTGGCCAATCTAAAGCGCGTTGTTGCTTCTTATCTGTACCAAACGCAAGATGAGAAACAGGTTGAGTTGGAGATTCCAGTCGGTTCGTTTGCGAATTATGGATTAATCAAGTTGGATATAGGTTGGTTTGCCTCACAGAGTGCGGGTGCAAATGTATCAATGCTGGGTTTTGTTGGTACGCAAGATGAAGATAACATCCGATGCTTTTATCAATACGATGAAACACATCAGCCTCCGTTTGAACTACCCAAACAGAATTCATATGATCGGGTTGCAAACAGCTACGCATTTCGTCTGGAGAAGAAAGATCTTGCACCCACGGACTCGGGTATTTATAGTTGCAATTTGAGCGCGACGTGTTTCAACTGCAATCCAACCATTGCATTCGTACCACGAAG